GGCCCTTCTGTGCTCCCCCTTCCCCGCGGGCCGGGCCGGCGTGCCCCGTTACTCCTGCTCTCTCCCTCTTTCCCTCCCTCCCTGTCTCCTTCCCTCCGGCTGCGGGTTCCGGGCCGCCGGGCCGGCACCGTTAGCACCTCAGCTAGCGTTTCTCTCTCCCAGGAGGTAAAGGGTGGGGAGAGGCTAGGGAAAGTTTCCCCTGCGCCTTTTTCGAGGTGCAGGGACGCGGCTTTGCTCCTAGCTGGAGTCTGTCGCTGCTCTCGGTGTTGTTTTGCTGAGAGACGCCCCCCTTCCCCCCGCCCTCACTTGGCCCGTCCCAAGATCCTAGCATCTCCTCCTTCGCCTCCGGAGGGGAGGATAATGGTGCTACAAACCGTATTCTTCACTGCTTCCCTGTCCCCCACGACACGGACTCCGCAAAGGACTATTCGCTTTGTAGGGACCTTTATCCAGGAGTGCGGTGAACTGAGTGAAATGACAGTTCTCCAGTCCTGCCTCGGATAAACTACCTGCTCTATGTAATTTAAGAGAACAGTCGAGGCACGCTCTGTTCTGCTTTCGTAAGTGGCTTTTTGTTTGTATTTACTTGCATGTGAGACACTGAAGTCATTTGCAGAACTCTCTGCAGCTGGGGTTCACAACTTTATAAAGCAATATTATAACAATGCTTTTATAAAAACCCAGATTCATTGTCTTATTTGTCTTTGGCCTATTCTTTCTTTGCGGGGGGTGTGGGGAGCATTATAGCCCTTGGAGGCAAAAAGTGAATTTCTGAAACTGGTATGCTTTGTGGGATCATAACATCAAAACATCAAAGTTTATAATGCTGAAAGGAATGGAAAAATGATTTAACCCTGACGGTAGTTTATAGTGTGTTTTAAACTTCAGAAAGTCCATTTGAAGTGAACTCTGGGTGAATTTCACCTCTTTGAACTTTTTTCAGGGTTTGGTATGTAACTATATTTAGAGTCTGTTAATATAGCAGTTAATATGTAGGATGGATATCTTTTAATCCATTGTGTGAATACCAGTCTTTTTATTAATACTTCCTGACAGTCTACCCTCTAGTCTGTTTCTCTTGAAGAGGAAGGATATTAGTCATGAAAAAGATTTTTTCCACAGTGATTTTTGTGTGTGATTCAAATGATCAAGTTATGGAAGCATCAGAAAACAGCCATAAAAACCAAAGCTATCAAGTTTTCAGCTTTTACAAACTTTAACATTTTTAAAATTAAGGAGTGCCTATAAGTTACAGCAAGAGCTTTGCTCTGTCTTAATAATCAGCAGCTCAAGGTGGAAGGTCTGAGACAGTATCCTCCTTTATCTGAGAGTCAGTGGCGAAGATTAAACTGAAGGGAAGTCAAGACCGTCATTATTATTATACTATTCTCTGTGTGTTACATTAAATAATAAGTCACGCATGGGAAGCAAGGTTTGGGCCCTCACGGAGTCTAGAGTCCAGGCAGGGCATTAGGACACATTTTAAAAAATATTCTGTGGTTTGAAAAAAGTCTAAAAATGTTTCATATTGTGTACACGTTGAGGAATGCACAGGAAGCACATGATGAATGTGTCTGCATTTATCCAGAATAGACACCCCAGAGGAGGTCAGTTAGTCAAATAATGATCTAAATTAATTATGTATTTGACCCGCAGTATGAACTTAAGTTTTAAAAATGTCCAAGCACATTAAGTCCACAATATAGATTTTTTTTAATTTTGCAAGGAAAGAATGAAAGAAAATAGAAAATGTGAAGCATAAGGAAGAATGTACATTACCTGTGATTATGCCATCTAAAAATAACAGTTAATATTTTGGGGTCTAAGTCCTTTTTACTATATAAATTTACTGGGTTGCTGTGTTTTGATAGTGAGATTTCAGATTGTTAGAGATACTGTAATACCCAAATTGAGCTTATTCCTGAATCTAGGAGAGCTCATAACAAAAATTTGAGTATTGAAGAACTTAGCGAAATCTACTTGATTCTTGAGTTTAGAAAGAGTTTGGGTAGCAAGAGTTCAAATAGCTGGGGATACCTCTATAACTTTTAAAAAAGTGTTAGTTACACTTAAAAAAAATGAGATCATATTCATGCATAGCTAATAAAATGTAAAATGTGAAATAACTTCAGAAGATGTGGAGTCCCATCCAGGGAAGACTAAGACCATTCCTGAAGGATGGTGTCTCTTTCCTCCAACCCCAGAAAAGAAGATTCCATGGCTTTTTTGAGAGTAGCATTCCACGGGGGCAAAATCTTTGCCAAGACAATTTTCAGTGCTTAAGGAAAAGTTTTAGTTTTGGAACTAGACAAAGCCTATCCTCTCTCTAGTGCTTCAGTCCATAACTCAAGTGGTATAGCTGAAACATCCAATAATTTGTTTATAGCTGTGGTAGAGGGTTCCCAAGATGACTGCTAGCATTTCCTCCCATCCCTGTACTTGACTGCCACTCTGCCCATCAAGAGATGGAGTCTGTTTCTGCTCCATTTGAATCTAGGCTGGTTTTGTGACTTGCTTTGACCAATAAAATGTGGCAGAAGTTATGTGTCAGTTCTGGGCATAGCTTTTAAGAGGTGTGGCAACTTTAGCTTTCACTCCTTTGGAAGTCAGTCAGCATGTAGAGAGGCTTGGGTTAAACTAGGTGGAGAGTGAGCCCACCTGGCGTGGCCTAGATATATGAGGTAAGCCTGTTTCAGCCCTAGGTAACCTCCCCCAGTGCGACTTCGTGACTAACCCCAACTGAATCGAGAGAAATAAATTGCGATTGTTTTAAGCCGCTGAGGTTTGGGATGTTACGTTACTCAGCAAAAGATAACTGAAATAACCACTAGTGCCTTGTGCCATAAAACCTTTGGTGCAAATCTGGCTCACATGTAAGTCAGTCCCAAGATGTGGTTCCCTGAGCACAAAGCTGGTGTGCAGTAACATGCTTTAATGATAAATCTCCAAATTAAGTGTATTACATAGGTATGTACTTAATGAATAATTAAACCAGACTGGCTATATCTTGTACTCTACAAGGTAACTGATTAAGTAAAAAATCATTTTCTTTTATGTAATTGGTTATTTGTATATATGATTGTTATCAGTCTTAAGCTAACACTTTGTGATGTGGTTATCTGACATGTTTTAAAGGAATTACCCATTAGTGAGATGACAGATGTGTAGTGTTTCTTGCAGTTTGTCGTTTGATTTGGAACCTGATGATTGTAGCTTACGTCATTACAGTACGCATGTAAGATCTGCTGCAGTGAACACATGTGCTTTGTTCTCAAGAGTCAAGGAGAGTGAATCTCATGCAAACTGTCATTTCTAATGAGTATGGTACAGGGTTTTAAACACACAAATGATGGATTTTTCAGGAGCTCTTCTGTCATTATCTTTAAATGAGGAAATCCTCAGAGCAGCTTCCCATTCCAATTCTGGTTAGATCAGTTTTTTGTTGTTGTTTTAAAACTCTCCCCTGGAGAAGAAAATTTCACAGGTCAGGTGGGCAGGGTACCTTTGTAGACTTATGGTCTTGCAACTTCCACTGGGCTATCTCAGCATCTCTTTAGGTTTCCCTGCTCTTTCTCAGCCCTCCCTGCTGGCTGCTTCAGACTTCTCCACCTTTTTGTTGTTCCACTCCACTTTCTATTGCTACCTCCCCACTTACTCTTAACAGGAAGCTTTCTCGTTCTTCACAGGGAAACATAGGTGACCTCAGAAGAGAATGTGCCCACATGCAAATCAAACCACTGTGAGATACGACTTTTTACACCCACTAGGATGGCTATAATACAAAAGACAGATAATAGTAAATGTTGGTGAGGATATGGAGAAATTGGAACCCTCATAAATTGCTGGTAGAAATAAAAAATGCAGACTTGCTTAGCAGACTGTTGAGCCTCGGCGGGCCATCTGCGCGCTGGCAGGCTGGTGAGTCTCCGCCCGCGGAGCTTCCGAGATCCCTGCGGCGCTCCCGGCGGCTGGGCCCGGCGGACGGGGAGCAGCAGCGGCTGGCCTCCCAGGTAGCCGGTGGGGCGCGGGCCCGAGCTCGCGGAGGCCGCTTCCGCCCCGGCCCTTCTGTGCTCCCCCTTCCCCGCGGGCCGGGCCGGCGTGCCCCGTTACTCCTGCTCTCTCCCTCTTTCCCTCCCTCCCTGTCTCCTTCCCTCCGGCTGCGGGTTCCGGGCCGCCGGGCCGGCACCGTTAGCACCTCAGCTAGCGTTTCTCTCTCCCAGGAGGTAAAGGGTGGGGAGAGGCTAGGGAAAGTTTCCCCTGCGCCTTTTTCGAGGTGCAGGGACGCGGCTTTGCTCCTAGCTGGAGTCTGTCGCTGCTCTCGGTGTTGTTTTGCTGAGAGACGCCCCCCTTCCCCCCGCCCTCACTTGGCCCGTCCCAAGATCCTAGCATCTCCTCCTTCGCCTCCGGAGGGGAGGATAATGGTGCTACAAACCGTATTCTTCACTGCTTCCCTTTCCCCCACGACACGGACTCCGCAAAGGACTATTCGCTTTGTAGGGACCTTTATCCAGGAGTGCGGTGAACTGAGTGAAATGACAGTTCTCCAGTCCTGCCTCGGATAAACTACCTGCTCTATGTAATTTAAGAGAACAGTCGAGGCACGCTCTGTTCTGCTTTCGTAAGTGGCTTTTTGTTTGTATTTACTTGCATGTGAGACACTGAAGTCATTTGCAGAACTCTCTGCAGCTGGGGTTNTCATTATTATTATACTATTCTCTGTGTGTTACATTAAATAATAAGTCACGCATGGGAAGCAAGGTTTGGGCCCTCACGGAGTCTAGAGTCCAGGCAGGGCATTAGGACACATTTTAAAAAATATTCTGTGGTTTGAAAAAAGTCTAAAAATGTTTCATATTGTGTACACGTTGAGGAATGCACAGGAAGCACATGATGAATGTGTCTGCATTTATCCAGAATAGACACCCCAGAGGAGGTCAGTTAGTCAAATAATGATCTAAATTAATTATGTATTTGACCCGCAGTATGAACTTAAGTTTTAAAAATGTCCAAGCACATTAAGTCCACAATATAGATTTTTTTTAATTTTGCAAGGAAAGAATGAAAGAAAATAGAAAATGTGAAGCATAAGGAAGAATGTACATTACCTGTGATTATGCCATCTAAAAATAACAGTTAATATTTTGGGGTCTAAGTCCTTTTTACTATATAAATTTACTGGGTTGCTGTGTTTTGATAGTGAGATTTCAGATTGTTAGAGATACTGTAATACCCAAATTGAGCTTATTCCTGAATCTAGGAGAGCTCATAACAAAAATTTGAGTATTGAAGAACTTAGCGAAATCTACTTGATTCTTGAGTTTAGAAAGAGTTTGGGTAGCAAGAGTTCAAATAGCTGGGGATACCTCTATAACTTTTAAAAAAGTGTTAGTTACACTTAAAAAAAATGAGATCATATTCATGCATAGCTAATAAAATGTAAAATGTGAAATAACTTCAGAAGATGTGGAGTCCCATCCAGGGAAGACTAAGACCATTCCTGAAGGATGGTGTCTCTTTCCTCCAACCCCAGAAAAGAAGATTCCATGGCTTTTTTGAGAGTAGCATTCCACGGGGGCAAAATCTTTGCCAAGACAATTTTCAGTGCTTAAGGAAAAGTTTTAGTTTTGGAACTAGACAAAGCCTATCCTCTCTCTAGTGCTTCAGTCCATAACTCAAGTGGTATAGCTGAAACATCCAATAATTTGTTTATAGCTGTGGTAGAGGGTTCCCAAGATGACTGCTAGCATTTCCTCCCATCCCTGTACTTGACTGCCACTCTGCCCATCAAGAGATGGAGTCTGTTTCTGCTCCATTTGAATCTAGGCTGGTTTTGTGACTTGCTTTGACCAATAAAATGTGGCAGAAGTTATGTGCCAGTTCTGGGCATAGCTTTTAAGAGGTGTGGCAACTTTAGCTTTCACTCCTTTGGAAGTCAGTCAGCATGTAGAGAGGCTTGGGTTAAACTAGGTGGAGAGTGAGCCCACCTGGCGTGGCCTAGATATATGAGATAAGCCTGTTTCAGCCCTAGGTAACCTCCCCCAGTGCGACTTCGTGACTAACCCCAACTGAATTGAGAGAAATAAATTGCGATTGTTTTAAGCCGCTGAGGTTTGGGATGTTATGTTACTCAGCAAAAGATAACTGAAATAACCACTAGTGCCTTGTGCCATAAAACCTTTGGTGCAAATCTGGCTCACATGTAAGTCAGTCCCAAGATGTGGTTCCCTGAGCACAAAGCTGGTGTGCAGTAACATGCTTTAATGATAAATCTCCAAATTAAGTGTATTACATAGGTATGTACTTAATGAATAATTAAACCAGACTGGCTATATCTTGTACTCTACAAGGTAACTGATTAAGTAAAAAATCATTTTCTTTTATGTAATTGGTTATTTGTATATATGATTGTTATCAGTCTTAAGCTAACACTTTGTGATGTGGTTATCTGACATGTTTTAAAGGAATTACCCATTAGTGAGATGACAGATGTGTAGTGTTTCTTGCAGTTTGTCGTTTGATTTGGAACCTGATGATTGTAGCTTACGTCATTACAGTACGCATGTAAGATCTGCTGCAGTGAACACATGTGCTTTGTTCTCAAGAGTCAAGGAGAGTGAATCTCATGCAAACTGTCATTTCTAATGAGTATGGTACAGGGTTTTAAACACACAAATGATGGATTTTTCAGGAGCTCTTCTGTCATTATCTTTAAATGAGGAAATCCTCAGAGCAGCTTCCCATTCCAATTCTGGTTAGATCAGTTTTTTGTTGTTGTTTTAAAACTCTCCCCTGGAGAAGAAAATTTCACAGGTCAGGTGGGCAGGGTACCTTTGTAGACTTATGGTCTTGCAACTTCCACTGGGCTATCTCAGCATCTCTTTAGTTTTCCCTGCTCTTTCTCAGCCCTCCCTGCTGGCTGCTTCAGACTTCTCCACCTTTTTGTTGTTCCACTCCACTTTCTATTGCTACCTCCCCACTTACTCTTAACAGGAAGCTTTCTCGTTCTTCACAGGGAAACATAGGTGACCTCAGAAGAGAATGTGCCCACATGCAAATCAAACCACTGTGAGATACGACTTTTTACACCCACTAGGATGGCTATAATACAAAAGACAGATAATAGTAAATGTTGGTGAGGATATGGAGAAATTGGAACCCTCATAAATTGCTGGTAGAAATAAAAAATGCAGACTTGCTTAGCAGACTGTTGAGAGAGAGAGAGAGAGGGAGAGAGAGAGAGAGAAATTGCCTCCCCAACCATTAAACTCCCTTTCATCCATATCCACCCTTGTTCTCTTGTGTTTTAATGGACGATCCCCCCCTCCCCGCCCCCCTTCCCCCGCTTATCTACACCTCTAGTTCAGATCCCATTGCTTGTTACTTTCTCAAAAACCTCATTTAGTTATATTCTCTCCTCTTTTTCTCTATGGGCTCCTTCCCATTAACATTTAGACATTTTCACATCTCTAACATGTTTAAGATAGAAAGATCACCCAAAATATACCCTTCAGCTCCTGCCCATTTTACAATTACTACCCTATTTTACTTTTCCCCCTCACAGTCAAACTTTTTGAACAAGTTGCTTATAGTCACTGTTTCCTCTTCTGCACCTTTCACACTCCCTCAACCTTCTGCCCTCTGGCCTTATCCACTCACATCCTCACTGAAACTCAGCTTGTTAAGGTCTCCCATAATTCTTAGTAAATCCAGTGGACATTTCTCAGTCCTTACCTTGTTTGGTCTCTCGGGAGCATTTGACCCTGACGTTACCTCCTTTGTGTGATGCTCAGGTCCCTAGGCTTCCATGACACTGTTCTTCTGGTTTTCTTCCTACTCTGCCTGTTCCTTCACAGTCGCTACTGTGGGGTCTTCCTGTCCCTTTGCTGTTGGAATTGCTTAGAGTTCTGTCCAAGATCCTCTTCCCTTTTTACTCCTAATACTTTTCCCTGGGTGGGTGATCTCATGCCCAGTTTCCAAATCTCCAATCCAGATCCCTTTCTTGATCTTCAGATTTATCGAACTATCTGTTGGACTTATTTACTTTGATATCCCACAGATAGCTTACTTAAAATGTGCAGAATATAGTTCCTCATCCCCGCCCCCCAAACTTACTGTGTTCTCTCGTAGTGAGTAGCATTACAGATCACTCAGTTACTTAAGCTGAGCACCTGTGTGTAATCCTTGGCTTTGCCTTTCCCATATCTAGCTCTTCTCCTCCCATTCCGTCAGTTACAGCATCCTCTTGGGCTTGTCTTTTGTCCACTTTTCTCCATTTCTCCGGCACAGACTCCCATTCTTTCTTTTTCGGCTTATCACAGACAGCCACCTCAAGCTGCCTCTAAGAACTCCTTCATCCCCATCTAGTCTCTACATTCAGCCAAAATAATCTTTAACGGACATACATTTTGATCATGACACTTCCCTGCTTAAGATCCTTCAGTGATTCCATGTTGCTCTTAGGATAAAGTCTAAGCTTTTTGGCTGCAGCCATGCTAAATTTCTTTCAGTTCCTCCACCAGACATATATGTTCACTATTCTAGGTGCCCGCCTTCTTTTCAGATAGTGACACTTGCCAATTGTCGTGCTTCCATAGCATCCAGACCTCACCATTAGAGCACTTGCCACACTGTGGTGAGTATCTGTTTATGTGTCTAGACCTCCTGACCCCATGTAAGCTCTGCTGGGGGTTCTGGTGGTAGTGGTGTTGGCTCTGTGTCCTGTTTATGTAGAGGACATCGAGTAAACATTTGAATGAATACAGTATGGTTCTGCCTGTCTGTTGCTGGAATTTTAGTTTGGCTTTAGGCCATCACAGGGTATAGCTGGTACTTTTCATACAGTAGAGACTAGTAGATAAAAATCACTTAGAGATATCCATGTAGAAAAGATTCATGATATCATAAATAGACTTGAAGTTGGGCCGCTCCATTCCAGCCTTGGACTTATTAGAAAAATAAAATGAAGTATTATTGTATTCAATCCATTTCTTCAGCCTGTTGACCCATCTATTTTTATTGTGGTCTTTTTTGTGAAGCCTGTATGTTTGGTGCAACAAAGACTAAAACTGGAAGAAAATTATTTCGAAGCATTTTTGTTTTTGTTTTTTCTGGTTTCCTTTTGAAAATAAAAGTATCTCATAAAAGCAATCCTTTTAAAAGATCATAGCTTCATAACCCTGGATATGCTATTCATTTATTTATTTTTTTGCGGCTACCACTACTGCCACTTGAGTTGTTTGCTTTTCTAACCTGAGCTCATGGCTTCAGTAGAATTATTTCTTCACTTACAGTGAGCTGCCAGATTCCCTATGTCCTAGAATTTCTTAAAGCTTCTTGGATGAAGCAAAGAATTGCTTCCAGAGGCCATTATTACAAAATGTGTTTCAAGTCATGTAACTTACTGGCAGTTGGGAAGTGACAGTTGTCCTCTTAAATGAGTGATGAATTTGAACAAAACTAATGAGGTAAAGGGGCAGTCACTGTGAGTGTTAGAAAATTCTAAGACAGCAGTCACGCTGTTTTTTAAAATGGAAGTAGGATTACCATGTCACCTATACAGCTACATCTTTATGAAGGATGGCATAAACTCTTTTGGAGAATGTAACATTCTCAGAGCTC